CACACATCACAGTACTGGGTGGGAAGTAGTCAAAACTAGCTCCACAAGCATCAAACCCAAGTCCAAGATTTCTGAGGCATGTCCATCCTTTCTTCGGTTCTGTAGCAATCTCAGCTCTATCTTCTGACACCTGTAGGCCAAATGATAAGTTTAACTACCAAAACGGCCTACACACAATAATGGAGGGAAAGAATAGAAAAGACGAGAAGAATTAGTTACAGAAGTAAACACACAGAATAGTTGGATAGCAGTCTAAGACATTACCCTACACATTTGTCTTCTGAGAAACTGTTTAATCTTGTAAAGCTTCCTTCACTCTATTTATTCCAAGAGTCCAAGGCTCATTGCTCAAGGGAGGAAAAATGAAAATACTGAAAGATCAAAGCGTGAAATTTGTGTCTTTTTGAGGTTTTGAGTAGACAAAGACCGTAGTCTTCAAAGCTGTAACCTTTCTTCTGGGAGAGGAAAATATTTTAAAATATTCAAAACCTTGGTTTGGAACCTTGAAAGACAGATTCAAATAAAAGGGCATAAAGCATATTCAAGAACAATAAATTGGGGGGCACCTGGGTGGCTAAGTTGGTTAAGCGTCCGACTTCGGCTCAGGTCATGATCTTGCGGTTTATCAGTTTGAGCCCCAGGTCAGGCTCTGTGCTGACAGCTCGGAGCCTGAAGTCTGCTTCGGATTCTGTGTCTCCCTCTCTCTCTCTGTCCCTCCCCCACTCATGCTCTGTCTCTCTCTCTCTGTCTCAAAAATAAAATAAAATTTAAAAAATACATTAAAAAGATAAATTGGAATAAGAATTATAATAATGTTGAATTAGTTTTATCCAGAGAAGTAAAAAGCTTGAAGAGTTGATAAGAGAAATGTGTAGTGGGTTGATGCAAAGGCCAGTACCACCCTTCCTTTGGGGGGGTGAGTCACCTACTTGCTGGGTGGGGCTGCGTGTGGAAATATTTGGTAACAGAAACCCAAGATAGGTCTCGAATTACCAGAGGAAAGTATGTTTAAAATTTCCAGAGCATAGTTCACGAACTTGCAAAACTTAGGATGAAGTTGTGTGCCCCTCACGGCACCTGAGTTATAGAGTAGCAACAACTGGGGGAAGTGTCTGGGGAGATGTACCCCCAGATAGGCTCACTAATCGGCACACACTAGAGTATCTTTGAGTCCCTACTGCCACACCCCAGAGATCAGACACACTTGAGAATGAGCCAAAGGACCCAGTAGAATCCAAATCTGGATGGAGAGGTTGCCAAATAGTATCAGAAACAGCTAGCTGCCCACAAAAAATCATGTTTCCCTACTGGGGGGTGATGTTCCAGCTACAAACTGCTGCATTTCCCAGCCTCTCTGGCATAGAGGTATGGCGATACGTCTAGAGACTGTCAGTGGAGTACGAGCAAAAGTGATTAAAAAGCAGGGCTACACTATACTCTTTCCCCTTCTTCTGGTTGGAAGAAAAGACTCCAAGGTCCTAGGGTGATTATCTCTGCCTCTAGTTTGACAACCATAATGAGTTCACAAGACGTGCCTAGAATATATTAAATTTTCACAGGAAATAGTAGTATCAGTAGATCACACCATAATGAACTGAAGAGTGTATTTGGGATATTATTGATTTTTGAAGAAAGCATACCACTGTCCCAGGACACTGAGAAAACTACTATTATTAAGTTGTTTAGCACTAACCACTAAATAAAAGGAACTACTAGATATTTCTTTTGGTCTGCAGCCCCAAGAATATATTGCTGAGACCTGAAGGACACTATGAACCAACAAAGTTTGGGAGCCTCTGCCTCAGGGAATGTGGAACCACAAGATGAAAGGAAGCTGGGTTTCTAAATTTCTTTTTCCTTTTTCTTTTTTTTTGAGAGAGAGAGTGATAGTGAGCCCAGGGGGAGAGACAGAGGGAGAGAGAGAATCTTAGGCAGACTCCGCACTCAGCGCGGAGCCCGGCGCAGGACTCAATCCCATGACCATGAGTGACATCATGACCTGAGCTGAAATCAAGAGTCGGGCGCTTAACTGACTGAACCACCCGGCACCTCTGGGTTTCTAAATTTCTAAATGAAAGGAAGCCACATACAAATTAAGAACTCCCACACTGAACTGGGATGTGAGCCACACATAAACTTCTGTTGTATTAACCCATTGAACTTTTGGAGTTTATTTGTCATAGTAGCTAGCATTACCCTAACTAATACACACAGAATGTGTAAGAATCTAGACTCAAAGCCAAGAACCACAGATAAAGGATCAGAAAAGATAAACCACATCTCGGTGGAGACCACTAAGCCCAGAGGGTGACTCACAGAGTAGATGCCTCTTATCCAATATCAGGTCAATATGTAAGGCGCCTGAAACTGAGATCAATGTCCAGGAAATGGGGAAGGATACAGAGAAGGCAAAGGATGGTAAGGACTTAGCCCAAATAAGACTGAATAACCCAAAATTTGACCTGTGAAAAGCTCTACTGTCAGTGGATAAGTGTTTGAATGCTAAGTTAGTTATGAGAAGAAATAAATTTACATGTGTGCATTGCATTCTGGAACTGTACAATTTTGAAGCCATCATATATATGTTACAGCAAGGAAAGAAACACAGAGGTCACCATCTCTGTTTCTGTAACTGGTCACCCAGCTATAGACTGGGGCCAGTATCTCAGCCGGCTGGGGTTGTTTGCCTAGTGGGGTGAGGAGCCTTAGTCCCTGGTGGTGCTGCCTAGGTGAGGTGACAGCACATTCATTAATCATTTCAGTAGGAACTCCCCTGAGCTTCTTCTACTGCTCCCTCCTACTACTCTGTAGCTGCATTTCCATTTCATTGTCAGGCTCAACCACTCTAACCAACACAATAATCCCATTCGCATCCTTTTTTTTTTTTCCAGAGAAGCCCAGTGAAGACCAAGCAGTAATTTCAAATCCCAGCTCAATGAAACTTTTATTGTGCCTCTGGGTGGAAACATGCCTCCCTCTTGCTCACTGAAACTCCTAAACCAGTGGAGCCCAGATTCAGGAAAAAGTAGCACCAGGAATAAGGTAATGGCTGGTGAGACGCCCCAAACCACACACGTCTGCCAGAAAAGTGATAAAGACCTTTCATAGTCAACATCTTCTGTGGTCCTTCTCTTCTCAGTTAGGTGTGAGTTTGGCTGCTCATATCCCTCCCTGAGAAGTAACCCCCCTGCCCCGCCTCCAATTTAAAGAAGGTAAGATGTATCATCATCCAATCCGGTGATTCTCAACTGAGGGCAATTTTGCCCCTTAGGGGAGCATTTGGCAATTAGTCTGGAGTCATTGAGATCGTTACAACTTGGCGGGAGCGATGATACTGGCACTTAGTGGATACTGGCCAGGGGATACATAGGACAACCCCCAACAACAAAGAATTGTATGGCCCAAAATGTCACAGTGTTGAAGTTGAGAAACCCTGATTGAATTAATTTATTTACATAATTTGCTTCCCCCACTAGAGTGCAAGCTTTGTGAGAACAGAGATTTTGTCCACCTTGCTTATTGCTCTATGTCTGGAACATGGAAGTCAACAAATATTTGATGACTACCTAATAGATGAATGCATGTCTCATAGCTCCCACCAGGTATTTTTACATACACGATCACATCCAAATACTTGGCTCCTTGCATTGGAAGGATTAGTAAGATGAAAGAAGGTGGTAGAGGGTAGCATGACTCAAATATCTGGGGTGGCACAACTTCTTTGAATGTCCCACATAGCTCTCTTCCCAACGCGGCGCAGCCAGAATCCTCATAATTTGCCTTCACTTTAATTTTCTAACTTGAAGAAAAATGTGCACTTTTTGCAATGTCCTCAGGTCCTTCATTCGTTAAGTGACATTATCATCCAGGTACTGTAATCGGTGCTGTCACCAAACAAAATGATGGCTTAGGACTTGTGTTCAACAATTTGCACAGAGATGTGGTGTAATTGTTCTACATCTATTCTAACAACTGTAAATGTATCTCCCTCTCTAAGAAAGCTGCTTCTTGTCCTCCCTTCCCATCTCCCCTTGACATCTCAGTTAAGCTTGCAAGAAAGACCAAGAGAAGAGAGTGGGGTACCTAGCGCCTCCCCACCCCAATCTGTAGTGGCTTGTCCCGGTCCTGGGTTCCCACACTGTACCTTAACCATAGCTCTGTTACAGTACTAATGGCAAATTCCGAGCACCCGTTTATTTATAGGGCTTTGTCCCTTCTTGTCTGGTAGGACATGCTCTTGATTGTCTGTATATCCCGGGCACCTGGCACCTAAGATGGGCTCAACAAATGCTTATGGAAGAAATAAAATGCATTTTGCCTACTTCACAATGTCACCTAGGGCACCCTTTGCCAACTTCACAATGTCACCCAAGGCATAGTTTTGCCTACTTCACAATGTCAACTGACCTCCCCCCCCCCCCCCCCCCCCCGGAAATGGGAACTTCGCGGGAACTCAGGGATAGATCTAGTTTCAGCCCCGTCTGAATCACATTCTAGTGGTGGCTCCAGCCAATGGAGAGAACGGCAAAGGAGCGAAAGTCCTGGGCTGCAGCAAATGGATCTAGGTTAAACAGCCGAGATGGAGGGGCACTGATCACTGAGGCATTAGGGGACCCGTGAAGACCACTGCAGAATGGCAAAGAAGCAGAGCTGCCTATAGGCAGGGGCATGCCTGTCACCATCGCCCAGGGTGCCTCATCCCAGCAGCTACAGACGAGTGGCCGAACCTGGCGACAGAGGCTAGCGGTGTTGATGTGAACTGGTTCGTTCAGACCTTGGGCCGCAAAACTGCCCGACGAGGGCAGGGAAAGTGGCACGTACCCTCTCCAGATCGCATAAGCGCAGCTGGGGAACTTGCCCAGCCCAGCCCACAGGGTGCTAAAGGGTCAGAAAGGACCCGCCTTTCCTAGACTGGGGCCCGGCGGGGCGAAGGTTGTTCCCAAGGCCACGTGAGGCTTCCTCGCCCCTAAAAGCCCCAAACAGGCAGGGCTAATGGAAGAGGGAAGTTAGGGACGCCCCAACCTCGGAGACGCTGCGCCGTGCAGCCGGCCCTAGAGCCGCTCTCACCACAGCTGCCTCGTCCAACCGGGGGAGGTCGCGGCCGCCGAGCGATGGCCCGCCGCAGCCGGGACGGGCGCCCCGGCCTGTCCGCGCCGCCGACCCCGCCGCTGCTGCCGCTGCTGCTGTTGGCCGCCGCGGTGTCGCCGAGCCTGGCAGGTGAGCCATGCGCGCCCCGGGGACCTGAGGCCCCGGGGAGGGGGAGTCCGGGGACAGGCGCCTGCGTGCCCCGCGCTGCGCCCGCCGCCGCTCCGTGCGCTCCCGCCCGCGCCCGCGCCCGGGCTCGGCCAAGTTGACTCCCAGCCGGTGTCCGGGTTCTGGGCGGACGCCGCGGGGCGGGAGGACGGGCCGGACCCGCTGCGGCCCGCCGCAGCTCCGGGATGGCCCCCGAGAAGGGCACGGGGTGTGCTTCTGCGAACTTAAGAAGTGTTGGCCAGAATTCTTGGCCAATAAATCAGTTCGCTCCTGCGCGACACTTGGCTTGCTGAGCCTTTCTCTACTGGTCCTAAAAAAACCAGTATAAATAAATATATTTATAATAAATATAATAAATATATATATAATAAATTAATAAATTAATAATAAAATATAAATAAAATATAATAAATAAATAATAAATAAAATATTTAAATATAAATATATTTATAAATAAAATGTATTTATTCACATCTTAGAGGTCTGATTCCGGACTGCCAGTTTTGCTTCTCAACTGCCAATGACTTTGGTTTAAAATAACCGCAACCTGGTATTGTCAGCTTGTTATGTGCCAGGCGATGTGCTAAAGGGCTTTTCCTATTAATGCTTACCACAACCCTAAATAGGATTTGTTATCCTCATTCTACAGAACGTTTGAAATTGAGAGAAATTCAGTAGTCTGGGTTAAGATACACAGCAAGTGAAGTCGTTGCTGAGTTGACAAATGGCATTTACTTAAATACAACCCCCTTTGTAAAACAGGTGTTATCCTTACAGATATTAACACCAATCTATACCCTTTGTGAAAAAAACAAAAACAAAACGAAACAAAAAAGCAAACAAGAACAAAAAAACTCCTGGATTTATCAGTTTTCTTCCCAATGGATAAGACCAAGATTAACCATAGACACTTGAAAGACTTCAACAGTAATATTAAGGGAGGATTAAGTTTATTTCATAAGCCCTTTTCTGTGCTGAACTTGTGCAAGAGTAGGGTGGAGTTCGGGAGAGCAAACCCCTTCCCAAATGAGTGTACTGATTCTTATTACACCACCTTCCATCGACAAGCAACCACAGTTACCAGATTTCAAGCTCTTTGCTTTCACAACTTGCCCACTTACCACTCTTAAATCTTTCCAGTCTTTTAAACTGCCTGGGCCTCTGAGATCAGCAGCCATGCACCCCCAGACCCCTGACTCCTGATTTACCTGCATTCTGTTCCTTGCCTGGGATATGGAGGTGGCGCTCATGCCACACTTTTAGCCCAGCTGCTCATTCAGACGTGCCTGGGACAGGCTAGAAAGTGCTCCAGAAACGGAAATGGCTTTTTGTGTCCAGAATGATGAGTGAAACCCTTTAACTTTTCTGTTCCTCTGGAGTTTTCGGGTTTGTTTATTTATTTATTTTTCCATTTATTTATTATTGAGAGACAGAGAAACACAGAGCGTGGTGAGCAGGGGAGGGTTAGAGAAAGGGGAAGACACAGAATCCGAGGCAGGCTCCACGCTCTGAGCTGTCAGCACAGAAACCCGGCCAGGGGCTCCCGAACTCTAAACTGAAGATGTACAAGGCAAAGTCGTTAAGCCTAACCAACTGAGCCACCCAGGCACCCCTGGGTTGTTTTAAATGTTCATTAGATGGAGGGGACAGCCTGAGGTGGTAGGTAATATTGTTTTTGAAGTAGCAGCTGTTTTTTGAAGTTATCACCCTGACAAAAGCATGCTTACACTGAGTTCTCCAAATAATCGCTTCTCCAGGCCAGTTTGGGTCTATTGGTCGGCAAGCGGGAGAGGAAGTTTCTTGACCGGTCGATCCTGACAGCACTGCCTGGCAATCGAGGAAGAACTACAGATTCACTGTGTCTGGAACAGCTGGTGATGCCCACACTGATTACTTAGAACAGGCGCGTGATCTCTAGGAGCCTGGGTGGCGCTGTGGTCGGTTAGCGCGATCGACTGGCACGGTCCACATCTCATGGGGTCCGATGAGTTCAGAGCAGCGTCGGCGTCAGCTCTGGGCGCTGATTGGCGGGCCTGCAGCCTTTCGATTCTGTGTCTCCCTCTCTCTGCCCTCCCGTTCATGCTCTATCTCTCTCTCCCAAAAATAAATAAACGTTGAAAAAAAATTTAAAAGAACAGACGTGATCTGTTTCCTTTGTTCCACCCATAGTAACCTGCTTTCCGGTGCAACTTTTCTGCTCTGTTTTACCCTTCTGCTAGACTGACAGCCTTTGCTACCTCTTGCTTGTCATGTTTTCTCTGAAGTGCCCTGCTCGGTACTCTGAATTTGACGAGTACCCAACAAACACTGAAGGGATTGCATTTTCATCTCCCTGGGATGATTTTGATAGCTACCAGTGTGCACCTATTAATCCAAAAGCATCCTTAATTTTTAAAGCTTACTTGGTAGCTTCATTCCTACAGAAACATTGGCAAACAATTGCACATTCATCCTTGCCTGTCTTTCAAACTGTTATAGACTTCAGCCATTTAATAGCATTGCCTTTATCCTTCCAGATTGAAAAGCCCCATATTTGTTTTTAGGAATGTCTTACATAATTTTTCTAAGTGGTGTGTAGAGTGAAGTCACATCACTAGGGAAAGAGATGAGTTGGTTGCCGAGAACTTTTAAGTTGGCATGTGCTTTGGTAAAACTGGTTCCAAATCTGGCCCCTGGACTTGCAGGGCTAGATTCTGGAAATGCATTCTCTCCCGAGCTCTAGAGCTGATCAGATACAAAGAAGCTGATTCACCCGAGTCTCTTCACCAAAATACCAATAATTAAGTTTGAGCAGATTGCCCCAGCCACTTTCTTATAATCAAATTACACCAGATAGATAATATCAGGGCTTCTCAGGCTGAAGGCCTGATTGATTTGCTCCCCAGTAAGACTGAGGCTTCCGTTGGCCTAGACAACGCTTGTCTGGCACAGCTGGCCCTTGACTCTGGGACACTGCCTCTTCCACACTTCCATGACTCACCGGTGCCCACCGGAGACCAACCCATTGCCTCTCTAGATGGGCTAATACCTTTATGTGTTGTGGGGGATTTGCCGTCTTGGGAGCTGTTCAGTCTCCTTAAGGTGCCTTGGTAGATCTTTGGTTGAGGCTATTCTTAGTTGATCCTTTAACTCTGAGGGCCTTCTTATTTCTAAATTCACTTGAGGTAGTTGCTCCATGTGTTCATTCTTTCTGTGGCAGTTCATTTTTGGAAGTGTAATATGAGAGAGGTAGCATGGAATTCTAGAAGCAGAAACCATGGAGCCAGACTGCCTGTGTTTCAGTCCTGGCTCCCATACTTACTGTGTGACCTTCAGCCAGTTATCTACTATCTCTGTACCTCAGTTTCCTCTTCTGTAACGTGGGTATTGTAGTGTCTGTGTCATAAGGTGGTTGTGGGAGACAGCGCCCCGAACCATGGGGGATGTATAACTGAGTGACCGTTACTATTGGCCATTGGAGTTTCCCTTCTCTGGAAAGTCATCATGGATCTTTTGATAAGACAACCAGGATTGCAGATGATAGTCTACGTGCTGTGAAGTAACAACTTGTTATAAAAGCAGGGTTTTTTTCCTTAATCATGGTCCAACGTTTCAGGGATTTGGAGTACACACCAGCATGTTAAGCAGGTGCTGCAGAAAAGTGAGCAGTGCCCTAGGTCTCTTTCCTGGGTTATAACTGATTGGTTGAAATCACCTTGATTTCTCTAAATGCAATTTTTTTTTATTTTTTTTTTAACGTTTATTTATTTTTGAGACAGAGAGAGACAGAGCATGAACGGGGGAGGGTCAGAGAGAGGGAGACACAGAATCCGAAACAGGCTCCAGGCTCCAAGCCGTCAGCACAGAGCCCGACGCGGGGCTCGAACCCACGGACTGCGAGATCATGACCCGAGCCGAAGTTGGCCGCCCAACCGACTGAGCCACCCAGGCACCCCTCTAAATGCAATTTTATTCATCATGATTTAATCCTGAATCAAGAATTTCCCAACTCTTTTTGGTCTTTCTGAGCCTCGCTAAATCTTCCTACAGCTCATCCCCATTGTCCTGGGGTTTCAGACTCCAAAGAAGTCAGTGTTCTTGGTAAACTTGAATATTGTCTTGTGCTCTCCCTCTATCAGTTTGTTTATAAAAATGTGTACAAGATAAGTTCCAGAACAACTTCTGGGGAAAGTGCCCATTCGCCTTTATTATTAAAATTAGTTTCCTGGTCCTTCTGGAAATGTGAATCTGACAGCAAAGATCAAAGTCTTTCTCCAGAAGAAAATGTAAGAGGATCCTCCTTCAAGTCTTTAAATCAAGGTAGAATATTTTTTAAAAACTTTTCATAATAGGTAAGCTATGAATCATGTAAACTCCAGCTTGGAACCATGTCTGACGTACAAAACAGAAATTTTTGTTTCCACACTCTTTTACACATTATTTTTACTTTGTCACCTGTTATCTTTTAGGGTTTTTTGGGGGGTGGAGGAAAGATTCTAAATTATAAAGCATTAACTATTAAGATAGCAAAAGAGGTAGCAGCACCAAAAATGGAATGAATCTCAAAGGATTTATTTTGTTCAATTTTTTAAGTTTTTAAAATGCATTTGTGCTTCATCTTTAAAAAAAAAAATGGAGTGAGTTCCAGTTGCTCCTACAACTTATATTTCACAATCACTTGAAGATTGAACTTTACCTAGCCTCCTGGGGCGCCTGGATGGCTCAGTTCGTTAAACACCCAACTCGTGATTTTGGCTCAGGTCATGACCTCACAATTTGTGAGGTTGACCCCCACATCAGGCTCTGTGTGGACAGTGTGGAGCCTGCTTGGGAGTCTCTCTCTCTCTCTCTCTCTCTCTCTCTCTGCCCCTCCACTGCTCTCTCTCTCTCTCAAAATAAATGGATAAAATTTTTTTTAAAGGATGTAGTTAGAAAATTTATTACTGTTATGTTGATTCTTTGTACTACTGCAAAACAGGAACTTA